TATCTCTCGAAGTATTTGTGGGAGAGAACTGAAACTTGGTATAGTGATATGTATGTGAAATCAATGTTGGCATTAATCGATTGATGTTTTAATTAGTTAGTTAATTCGATTAAATTCAATCAGTTTACAGTTAATGATGATTAATTTTAATCCGACTAAACAGTTATGGTAACCGCGATTAAAAAATTATTTTTTAATCATTAACTCTTAATTTGATCAAGTAAGTTTGGTGATTAATTAAGTTATGCTGGAATTTCCCTGTGCACACAAAGCAAGTTAATCCGGTATGGCTAAGTCGGGTTTCCTCATCAATCTAAGCAATCTGGTGTGCATTTTCATTAAGATATATACCAACAAACGTTTTGCAAACTAGGTTTGTAAAAGTTCCCAGTTTATGTATTACTAATAACAATAATTATTATTTTCTTATATTACGTGCTTTTTATAAGCGTAAAACACAAAATATTTACTATAACTGGTGTTTGGTTTCAAACTCGGACAAACTAGACAAATTAATCAGATTTTATTTTTAATTGGATTAAGGATTAATGTTTTAAATTAATTAAACGTAATCGCAGCCAGCGATTAACGACTAAAAAAATGTTATCATTAATCGTGCAGTTGATTACGACTAATTAATTTTAATCGACAAACGCGATTAACATTTTAATCGTTAATTTTTAATCGGATTAATTTTAATCAGATTAACAGTTTGCCAACACTGTGTGAAATCATGTTCATATGCACGGAGAAAAATGGACGTTTTTGGAAAAGAGGCGTAGCACCTCCCATACTGAATGAAAATTTCATATTGCATATCTCTTCAAATGTTTGGGGTAAAGCACTCAAGGTTGGTATGGAAATACATATGTATGCATGTATGTATGTGAAACTAATACCATACTCATGGAGAAAAATGAGAGTTATTGGAAAACTCTGTGTGGTGTGGCAACTCCCATGCAAATTGATTTTTCTATGCTGCATATCTCTGGAGGTGTTTATTGCAGAGGACTGGAACTTGGCACCGAGATGTGTATACAAAATTAATTCCATACTCAAAGTGAAGAATTTGCGTTATTCGAAAAGGGGACATGGTTCCTGCCGTACAAATCTTACTTACTCTTACTGTTTATCTCTAGAGGTGTTCATGGTAGAGTACTGGGACTTGGTACTGGGGTATGTAAAATCAATTCTAAATTCATGGAAGAAGATTAGTTTTATAAGAAAAAGGGGCGTGGCACTTCCAGTACAAATTTACTTTTTCTTGCCACATATCCCTGTTTGTGGAAGACAGAATAAATTTCATTAAATGGAAAAGGGAGAGCCGGGTTCGGCCTTATAATCTAAAGCTCTCTTGAGGCATTTGCTACAGTAATGAGAAGTGGTATTTTATGAAGGCCAGGTTATAAACTTTTTTAACAGGTGGCAACTCTTCCAAAAAATTAGCCTATTTTCCACTGTAGGTCATAAGCTATCTGCTT